GGGGGGGGGGCAGGATATAGCATGGTAGCTTCTCCTGAGAGTCTTTCCCACCCCAGCCTGCCCTCTAGTTGGGCCCTGCAGGGATCACCCTGTCCCCAGCCCCCTTTTCTCCGCTCCCACCTTCCTCTGGCCCCACACCCGCTCTCACCAGTGCCCTCAGGCAGGCTCATGACTCCATCGCCCTCCACCCAGCGATAACAGGGGAACCTGAACTCATCCCCGCTGCTCCCAGGGGTCCGCACGGAGATCCAGTTGCAAAACCAGGCGTCATCCTGAAGGAGGCGCCGTTTGCGCAGTTTCACGAAGAGCAGAGGCCCCAGGTACTCCGACAAGTCCACTTTGAACTCCTCCTCCTGCAGGCGTAGGAAGGGGTGAGCGGGACCCAGAGGAAGGGTGCCTGGGTCTGGTCCTGGTCTCCCTGACACCCTTCAGCTAAGCTTTTGGGAAGGAGCCCCAAAGGGATCCAGAAAGAGATAGAGCGCGCAGTGAGCCAGGGGAGTCCCAGGTTCCAGGTGCAGCAGGGGAGTGGGAGGGCGGGGGATACCGGAGGGGCCTTCCCTCCTTTGCGCCGCCTTTCTTCGCTGGGGACCCGGACTTGCCTAGCGCAGTGCCAGACAAGAAGCCGGCGCGGCGCCCTGAGCGAGCGCACGGTGGAGACGCGCTGCGGACCGGGCGATGACACCCGAGAGACGCCCGGCACCCAGCCGACCCAAGCTGCGCGGGCCTGGGGGCGGCTCCCGGGAGGACGTGCCGATCCGGTGGGAGCCAGGAAGCGAGTGGGAGGGAGGACAGGGCGGGCAGCGGGGCAGGAGCGAGCAGCCCAGCGGGGAGAGGCGGGCAGAGCCCAGGGGCGCGGAGAAGTCGGGCCTTTGGATTGGGGCCGGAGGACACGCGGGTTTTAAGTAGCCAGATGCCTAGGGCGGGACTCTCAGGGGGTGGATTTTCCGGCCGCAGACCGTGCAGCGGTTACGAGGTGGGGAGGTCCCTGGCGAGGGAGGAGTCCGAGCGGGGCTGCGGCTGCGAAGAGGCCCGCGGGGTCGACCTGCCCGCCGGCACTCCCGGTCAGAGGGAGACAGGGGGTGCGGTGGGGTGGGGGCCACCGGACGGACGCCCAGGTGTGGGACCTCACTGGGTTGAGAGAACTGGAGGCGAGGCACGCGATGGCCTGGAGGAGGAGGTCCTCCTTTGGGGCATATACCTTTGAAGTGTCCTTGGGACAGACATTGAATCTGGGGACCTGGAAGTTAGAACGGGACCGGCGATGGGAATGGGTGAGCCGGGAAGTGACAAGGTGGATGGTGGGAAAGGCCACCAGCTGGCCGAACTTGAGGCAAGAGGAAGTCAACCCCACTGCCCTTGGGTCACTGCCAACTCAGGGTGAGCCTGCTGTGGGACAGAGCAGACCCACTCCCTAGGATTTCCGAGACTGTGGGTCTCTAACGGAGCCCTCCGCCTTCTCTAGCTCCCGCAAGAGCGGCTGCTGGGTTGGAACTGTCTACCTGGCGGTCGGCAGCCCGCCGCTTAACCCGCTGTGCCACTAGTGCTCCTTGAAGAAGCGAAAAGACCAGAAAATGGAGAGGATCCCGGTGGTCTGAGTCTTCCCCTGTGATGAAGCCCACACTCCAAGTCCAGGTGGGACCAGGTGTGAGCGCCCGCCTTCCGGAGTGGCAGCACTACTGCCCTGGCGGAGCAAGGAGCTCTCCAGAGTGTTAGCTGAATTCCTAAGGACCCAGGGACAGACGGCCACCCTCCTTCCGCCCCAACTGTGTGCCCCTGTCGCCATCAGTTCTGCCCTCAGCCATCTCCGAACCTGGCCCGGATGCCACCCGCCCTGCCCGGCCGCTCACCTTGCCCTGCATCGGCCGCAGGCGTGTCTCGACGGCCGCCTCCCCGTGCTGGCCCACCAGCCACAGTTGGACCTGATTGAGGGAGCCCGCATAGAGCGAGTCCCCAGTGGACACGCGGATGCGGTAGACACCCATCTCGTCCAAGGCTGCACCTTGCCCTCTCTGGGGGAAGAATGCCAGAGGTAAATAAGTGGGCCCAAGTGCCCGCCCCCTCAGAGACCTTGAGGATGGAGGTAATAGGCCTCCAGCCAAGCGGGGTGGGGTGTGGGGTGGGGAGGCCCGCGAGGGGGCACGCCCTGGGTCCCTAGCTCCCCAAGGCCCCATGCTCAGTTCCAAGTCCAATAATGCAGGGTTCTGGCACACACAGGGATGGGGGATGGGGAGGTGGGTACGTGTAGAGAGTGTGGCTTGCTGTCCTGTTTAGAGGAGTGTGGGGATGGGAGAAAACCACTCCAGGACCACACAGCCTCTCAAGGCAGGCTCCCTAGTTCGCTTTCCCAGATAAGGGTCATGCTTGGGGATGGGGGGCGGGGGGAGCAGGGGACCAGGTCTGTGTGGAAGGGACAGTTTGGCTACAGAATGAATATTAATTGGACCAACTTTGACATTTATTTCCCTCCTGCCAGACTGTCACTCATTCCTTTCTAGCTTAAAAGCCTCGGCCTTAACATAGCCCAAGAGTCCCAGTGGTGTCCTGGAGCTGCGACCTGTAAGGTCATCAATTTTGAACCACCTGCCACTCCCCAGGAGAGAGACCGGGCTTTATAATCTCGGAAACTCCCAGCGGCAGTTCTACCCTGTCCTATAGGATCATTTTTGGTCAGCCTCCACTGGGTTTTGAGTAGCCTGGCCCACCAAGACAAGATTCTACATCCTTCTCTGATAAGTAGCAGCCCAAGCCAGCAAGGAGCCCTGTGGAGGTCTTGGGTTAGGGCTGCACTAGGCCCCTCTGATGGAGAAATGGGAGCCCGTTTACTTACACTCTCAGAAACCCTAAGGAGCCCTTCTAACACTCAGAAGGCAAACTATTAACAAAAGGTATTTTTATACATAAGAAAGACTATGTGAGGATTTTGTTTTTAGTAAGAAGAGCATTCATAAATATAAAAGGGTAAAAACAAGGAACTGTTTGTGAGCCAAATCGTCCTGGAAAAAATAGGAACGGTTTCAAGAACAAGATGGACTGATCAGCCCGTTTGGTTACATCTGACCATTAGGTGGGAATAGTCCAAACATTTATTTATTTATTTTCCTTTTCCAAAACATTTTATTAGGGGCTCATACAACTCTTATCACAATCCATACACACATCAATTGTGTAAAGCGCATTTGTACATCATTCTCAAAACATTTTCTCT